ATTTCTCTGAAAGATTTTTCGTGTATATTATTCACGTAATGATGAGCTTAGTATAACGCTTTAATCTGTTTTGAGGGTTGGGTGTGTGTGTTTGTGGGCGTGAATGAGGGTGAGAAGAAGGGTGGACGAATGGGGAGAGGGAGGGAGGGAAGAGAGAGAGAGAGAGATGTGTAATATACATATAATCATCATGCATTTTATCTCTACGAAGATAGCAATTTTTAGAATTATTACCTTAAAAGTGAAACCAATTACGAAGTAATACAGGAAGCTATTGATTGGCCTATTATGTTAATTGTACGTATTTTGTCAAATGATAAAATGCAATGAATCATTTGTTTGTACGTAACAAATATTATCAGTCGTCTGCCTTTTTTAACGTTTGCAATTTTAATGTATATATAATAAATATATTGATACTATTGTTAATTTTATATTACAAAATTGGTAACGTAGTTATTGGCATCAATGTTTCAAAAGAAAAAAGTAGCTTGCAATTAGATTAAAACTTTTATTAAAAAGAATTGTTCCGACTTTCCGCGAAGAATGTCGCAAGATGTAAATGTATAATTACACCATTAAAATATATATATATCTAGTTTGTAACTGTACTTGCATTTATAATAATTGGAGCAATTTTTAACGAAATTACATAGTTGTTTTAGGAAACTACTCGCTTATCGTTGTATCGATAAGGGAGGGCCTTGGATAACTAACTGTAAGGCTAGGCCGAGGGTATTGCCAAAGCACTATAGGTGCGCATTATCATAAATAACGAGGTGACTCACAAATGTTTAAAATTTCGAATGAATTTTCTTGCAACACTTGTAACTTAATATTGCTATAAACATTGTCGATTATTTGATGGAATTGTACAACTTTAAATAGAACTACATTTACAAACATCGGTAATATTTGTGTGGAAGATAAGTAAAAATAAGCTTTCACACATATATATATTTACATGAAGAAGTTAGCAATAGAAATTATTTTTCATGCATTTCGAATTACGTTTTATTAATTTTGTACGATCTTGCTTAGTGTCTTTCCGATTTTTATAAAGTTATCTCAATTATTATGTATCAAATTTATACATAAATGTATGAACATATAAGAATATTAAAAATATACATGTAAATAAAAAATGTATGTCTATTTGTATAAGTGCATTATATTCCAGTATTCCAGATTACCCTTTTTACCATGTGTTAGTTCAAGTTCAAGCACGTGAGACGTCCTTTCTCTTACGCATAGCCACGTCACGGCAGCGGAACAGTTACTTAACATCTCGGATATAGTCAGTCAGCTCGTAAACTTCGCCAATGTGATCAGCAAGACAAACGAAACCCCCATAGATTGCAATTACACGCGTGGCGGCGCGCTCGCGCGCGCGGCGGAATTGCCGGTTGAAAAATTCGCGTGGCCGCGCCAGCAGCAACGGTAGTCGCAGTCAAGTAGAGCGTGTTCGATGGTGTTTCCAATGTGGAAAGGCGATACGATCATCGGTGTTCGAATTGCCGTTACATTATTTATGACGGGAAAATTTTGCGTGCATCTCGCGGAAGGTTCGCGTCTACGCCGGAGGGTTGATTCGCGGAATGTACAAAATTAATGTCTTTTAATTACGCAACTGTTTGTGTATATCGCAGCAAAAGCATCGCGAGCGCGTAATCTGTCACTTGTAATGAAAGTATAGCTGCTGTGCAAATTTGAAAATGTTACGACATCTTTGGTCTCAATGTAGAGAGCGGTTAATGAAAAATATTCCTTAATGAAGTACCGTTTGCCCGGGTACCGTATGTTTAATACGATGCGAGTTGCCAGAATTTACTTTGCTGAAAGTGTGAGATAAAATATAAAAGGAAACATAAAAGAAGTATATTTAAAAAAATACCAAAAACCGGGTTATATTAACGAACAAGATATTTCGAATTTGCAATATCTGCAACGCCACGCCTGTGTTTGAATAAAGTTCCGTGAGCAGGCTTCCTTAAAACACGAAGTTTCAACCAAACACTTAATTTTACGTCCTCACATTCGGATGGTCTACTTTCATGACTTTCACGTCAATCCCACGAACTCGTAAAGACACGTAAACGTCCAGGTATTTTAAGAATTATGCAGCGCTCTTGAGGAGTTCCGATAAAAAGGTCGCTCTCCGTCTGGACAATGGTATCGTTATCGTGAAACGAATATCTTGTGCGTAGCGATTTATTTCCCCCGTACCTTTGAAGCCAGTGAAGGAAGATCTACGGGCTGCCTGTGTCGGACTGTGAACGAACTGTGCGCGTGTGTGGTTCCTCAGGAGCACCTCCGTGCACCTGACACGACGAAGGTTGTGGTGTGACTGGCGTCAGACGTAGCGCGTCGAACGGTACTTACCTACCTGAGCAAGTCCCCTGGCTTTCGAGCGTAGAAGCCGGCAAATACAATGCACCGCCAGCACGCTTTCGACTCGATGCAGATCCCTGCACCACGACCGGAATATTACCTGCACTTGCGTGAATTCTAGCGCCTTTGCTCCGAAGCTCCAAACATTCTCGTGCCCGCGTTTAGATTTTTCAGATTTTGGTTTGCTCGACGACACAGCGTGCATCAGGCGAAATTTCGAACGGTTCTGTGACGTAGACAGTTTCTCAAAACAGATTACCAATTTTCTATTGTGGTAATAGGTAAACTTTACATTTATTATTATACGAAATTGGTCTTTCTTTGGAGATAAAAATTCAGCGTATAGAGAACCTAAAACCACCGGAGGTTGAAACAAGTAAATTTTATAGACAACAACATATTGAAAACGACAAATTCGAGAACGGTTTACCTAATGCTATAAGATTATTGTAGAATGTATGAGTTTCTATTTTTATAAATACTTCCTCGTGACTTGGCTACTTATCGTATTAATTAGGAACATGGTGATTGTACATTGTACCCATTATACGCAGTTCTTGATAATTATAACTGTTTATAATATGATTCTTGCGTGACAGCTGATAATATAATACGGTCTATTAACGTTGAACACGTTAGATGACTTTAAATAAACATCCAACGTGTTCGCATCTGATGCAGACATTATAGCCTCGAAACGCCGTGAACAATCTAATCGACGATATTCCGCCAATAATGCCAATTGCAATGAATGAACGTTTGGAAATGCGGCAGTGAAAATTACCGTTATCGAGATCGGGTTAGCTCAGCCAGTTTTTATCCAGGCCACGGTATGTAAATTACAGCCGCGCAAATGTACTTCCTTTCTGGAATTCCCCAATGAGATATGTTACGTTCCACATGGAATTCGGATGCCGGATTGGAGTAGAGGTCTCGCCGTACGGATAAGAAAATATCTCGTCACTCTGTAGTAAAATTGCTGTAACAGATTGTATCAGATTTGGATAACCACTTGTCGAGAGACGCTACTACTTCGCTGTAAAACCGGCTCTTGATACAGATACACACAAAAGCCTCTTTCGGACAGTCGATGACCCCGCGAGGGATTAGGGAACGTGCGTCCGACGAAGGTATACCGGCCTCTTCAACTTCCAGGTACCAAGGTCATCTCTTTGCACTGCGGTATAGCATGAAGCGATGATAGAGAGAAGGGACGTTTAACCGGTTACGAGCTGTGACTTGACGCCAATTTTTGAGTAGCCGGCGATTATAGCTCGTCGGTATTTTATCCTGTTTGTTCTGCCCGAGGACTAATTGATTCCTCCGTGTGGAATTGTAGAACAAACTCTTCTGGCGTCTTCGGTAATGAGACCTATATGAGATTTCACGAAGCAGCAAGAGGCGATCGTGCGACTAAAGTCTCTGTAAAACAAAAATGCGACACGGAAAACGCGCGGTGCTCTACGCATTAATGTAATGCAGTTTTATATACAACGTACATAAAGCTAAAATTTTATGTACCAAAGCTAGCACGCGCCGTACATTCTTGATTAAAGAAAATATAAGTTGTATACCGCGCAGTAAATACATTGCAAGTTTTCAACATCTCTATTTTACTTCGAGATATGGCATATGGCTTAGATTTGTGGTTCATAAATAAGAAATTAGAGAGGAATTTCTAGTTTCTCCACAACGTTGACACATAGATATATCTACGTGTATTTTTTATGAGAGGCAGAAGATTTTAAGATTCAAATAGTTTTACAAGAGAGAAAAGGCGCGCGATCAATATAACGTCCGCACGTCGTTTCACCGCGTACCTCAAGAAAACAGTTTTGTAAATTGCGACATTCGTAGCGTGCGACTTTTTTCAAGAAAAGATCCTCTTTGCTACGTCCCGCGGTGTCTCGCGAAAAGTCAACGCGGCTGGAGGCGGTCGCACGCGAATAAAAGATGCAGTACAGCGGTATCTTTGAAAAATGTTACGAACACTTCCGCGTGCCTCGCCTTAATCTGACGATCGCATACTTGTGACAGGAGTCCTCGGATTCGGAATGATCTTCCATAAAGACATTACCGCGACATTGTCGGTGCACAGATTTGTCCTTAGTTGCGTCGGTATCTGGCCTGTGAGAGAGAGAACTATCTTCATGGATCTTAGATGGATCATCGCTGTATTTTTAGAAGCAAGTACCGTTAATGGGCCTTTGATTACGTGATGCTAAATTATATAACGCTCTCGTACACAAATGTTAATAAGATATATTAAAAGTATAATTATTTTACAATGTAATAATAATATGAATGAATCCGTTAACCGCATTTATTACGAGTCTTTTGATTGAAGGCAGGCAGACAAATAAATTGTGAGATGCTTAAATATGTAGCAAGTTAAGCATAAGTAAAATATAAGTGAAATTTGCTGAAATTGACTGGCTTAAGAGCAACCTGCTAAAATATATTTTTTAAAAATTATAATTGTTATATATAAAGTTATAAAATATTATATTAATTAACACGTTCCGTGCTGGAATAATTTTACGTGATTTATTCTCTACATCGCATGAATCAGCGGTGGCCCGTACAGTACGTTCATTATGTAATAGTTGTTTTTCATAATAATTACAAAATAAAAAGTTATTATTATAAAGAAAGAGGCTTAATGTACAAAATACAATACACAACGAGGCAAATATATTGATTAAATATCGATTTAATATTAACCTTTAATGTGAACGTATTAAGCGGCCGAAATATCAAACGGCTTAGAACAGAAAGTCTAGTGTGGGTCACCGGTGACTCACACGATATGGTACGGATTGACATTACAAAATTACTTTATAATATTAAAATATTTTCGTATTTTGATAATTGTATCAATAATATGAATTTTATGTTACATATTTCTAATATATAAGAAATAATTATACTGAGCTTTTTTTCAATAATCTATTGTTGCGCAATACATGGCAATCTCTTATTTTCTAGGTAGTTCCGATGAGCATCTATTTCACCGAAATTTATTTGCACTGTAATGGAGCGAAAAATTCTTTTGACTCCGTGGTAACCGGTTGCGCAGCTTCGTTAGCCCTTACAAGGCTAATTGCACCTCGTATTCACCGAGAGGAATTACTCGAGATAGTCACTTCCATGATAGACGATTGGGTTGTGCAGAAGGATAAAAAAGTTCGCTGGATCATGAAGAAATACGCAACAATGTCGACACGCGTGACGGTGCTTACCTTCATTCTGGTGGCTATTATAGTAGGTGGTTACGCCGTTATGGCGATAACAGCGGTTACCGCGAAAACGGGTCAGCTTGATAATGAGATCAATGTAAACGTGAGCCACGAGAACGGAAGTCAGCCTTGCATGTTTCGGAGCGCGTCGTCGCATCAGGCGCTCATAGTCATTCAGGCGATGCAGATGTTCACCACCGGTATATTAACCTTCGGCACCACCAGTTTCTTCTTTGGACTGACCATGCATCTGTGCGCCCAATTTGATGCGTTGAGTCTCAAGATATCCGAATTCAGAGTTAGCGAGGCGCGTCGCGTGATAGCCGAAGCGGTCCAGAGGCATTGTCATCTTATCCGACTGGCCGAGTGCATGGAGGAGTCATTTAATGCGAGCGTTTTGATATATTTGTTCGTTACCAGCACTCTCATGTGTGTAGAGGGTAATGTGCCTTTAAATGAAAAACTGTTAAATTTTAAGACGCTTTCCCAAAGTGTTATTAAATTAAACTTTCAATTATGAGATCAATTTGGTTATTTGTTAAACACTCTCAAGTTCTAATTTGCAATGACATTGCGTAGCTGGAGTTTACGTAATTATTTGCAATCTTTATAATACAATATCGAATCTCGTACTACAAAACTGCGTGTTTTTAATGTTGCGATAACATTTTCTAGGGTACATATTAATCGCATCGTTACCTATCGGCAATCTACGTCTAATTATACATAGCATTAGTGTCTTACTTCTTATGCTGATCCAATTGTCGTTCTACACGTTCGCTGGTGATTACTTGGAGATGAGAAGTACCGCATTGTCTTATGCCACTTACGATTGCGATTGGTATGATCTGCCAGCTAGTATAGCCAAGGATTTCCAGATTATTCTAATGCGAGCCAGTATTCCTCATCAATTGACGGCCGGGAAATTCGTGGTCATGAACATGATCACGTTTAAAGATATCTTAAAGTCCACGGCGTCGTATCTTTCGGTCTTGCGTGTCATGTTAGGTGAATAATATATATTATCCAGTTGTTGAAGTTGCGCAATGTTGTCGATTACATCCCGTCGCGATAGTAAGCTTTCATAAAGTTTGTAGATTAATTTGAAATAATTTAGAGTGAAGTTTTTAGTCGTATCTTAATTTTAGAGAGATGTGCATGGGATGTCACGATATTTTGATATAAAAGTTTCCAGTTTTCCTTCAACAGTACACGATACTTTATACATCCCTTGTCTTTTCCATCCCCTTTCAGTTACTTCCACGACACAGAACGATAGACTAACGTTTCATGCTACATACAAAATCATATGATGCCATACGTTACCTGTACGTTTCGATTTCAGTTACAGAACTACAGCGTAAGAACAGAAGTGCACTATTAATTTTCGTATTTCCTTTTATGTTCTTGCCACGATGAAAGAGATGCGTGATGGTACTGCGTCGCATACCACAAATGCATGTTCGCGCAAAGACACTCTCGGTAGAGGCTGTAATCGGTAAAAGTTCAAAAATTTAAAAGTGAAACAGCCCTCAACTACAAAGCATCTTATAGAAACGTATGTATGTGATTTCGTTCTGTCGATTCCGTTTCCGCGCGGCGGAACGCCGCTCCTCGCGTGAATAAAAGATCAAAGAAGGACGTCTCGCCCTCGATGGCGTGGGTAGCGAGATGGCTTTGCTTACCGCGCGCCTTCACAGTAAGTTTGGAGCTTGGTCAACGCACATGAAATCGAATAGACGATATCAAGAGAAACGGATATCAATAATTTCATTCGGCTTGTGCGTGATAATTGTTTGCAATTGGATCGATCTTGATTCTTGATCTATCGACTTGATTCTCGATTAAATCAACATTAAATAAAGTACATATAATTTTCCCATTATTGAAGTGCATTCTTATTTACTTGCAAATCGATTAATATTGCGATGATGAGAAGCGCATTTTTTGAAAGTATTTCTGTGCTTCGATATTAACTCAAATAAAGATCTATAATTGAGACTGCTTTGACTAAGATCTTGGTGTAACATGGAACATACACGTGTAAGTATATATGTAGCCTTAATTAATTTGTTATTAATTCTTAGAAAAAGATCCATAGCGATTCTTCATAATGAAGAAAGCAAGGGACTGGAACAACGAATCTCATTACGCTCTAAATGTTTACGAAAAAGTTCTCGGTATAATTGGAATTTGGCCTTTGAATGCGGGAGAACTTAAATCCATCGCACGATGTTCCTTAGCCATTTTGATCCAGGTAAATGTCACAAAAATAATTATGATAGGTAAGTTCGACCGTTTTCAAGGAGTAACACAAACAGTGATAGAAACGTCTCTAACGATCATGCTGGTTCTTAGCTAAATCTCTGCCTGGTTATTTTTTTCTTCCGCATACATCTTAACTGTGTTATTCATAGAAATACTTATTAATAAACTGAATAAAAGATATATGTATACGAAGATATACGAAACATATCTTCACTGCCATATCTGTTATCCCTGTATCACATCTTCGTCTCTGGAAACAGTTTACTGGATAAAAATACTTAGGCATTTATAAAACTAATGAAGTAATTAGAAATTACTTAATTAAAACTAAGAAATCGCGAATTAACGCGATTTACTCGGCGGTTAGATCAGTACTATCGCCAGCCTGTCTCTGGAAGCGTACCGGCAGTGCCTCGGTACCGAGGACATGATGGAGGCTTTCCTAATGGACCTCTCGTCTGTCGTCAGCCTCTCCAAGCTTATCGTCATCCGCCTCACTTGGAGGCACACTTATATTCTGGTGACTTCCATTGTCGATGACTGGTCGGTGTCCCGGGACACGCTACAGCGAGAGGTGATGATGAGATACACCCACGTCGGCAGGATTGTGTCTTTGACAATGTTGTACCTGGGCTACGCATCGGGCGTCTCGTTCCTCTTCATGGCCGTGCCATTCGATAGCTTTATACCCTGGCTAAATGTCTCCAAGGCGAATGACAACGACACGGCTGTGACTACATATTTTCTGGCGACTTACTGCGTCTTTGGGTCGTTGCCAACGATTACTTACAGCTGCGTCTTGCTGCTACAAGTGGCGCAGATCTTCGTCAATGCCACTTCGCATTGCGGAAATGATGGTTTCTTCTTCGGTCTCGCTATGCACCTATGCGGACAGTTCGAGGTACTGCAAATGGATTTCGCCGGCATCGAACCGGAAGAGCGAACCTGCAAAAAGAGGATACGGATGTTAATCGGCAGGCATTGCCATTTGATAAGATTAGCCGATAGTTTCGAGTACGCATTTAACATGGCTATTTTCGCGCAGGTGTCAATGAGCGTGTTACTGCTTTGTGTGGAAGGTATTTCGTTTCTGTATTGTATATTAAAAAATATTATAACATAAGAAATCGAAGGATTAGAGAAACAAATGAAAATTTTTTTAATACTTCGTAAGTAAAATGTTTGAAGAAACGAACAAACCAGATTTGCCAAATTTATTAGAAATATTCAAAACTATATTATAAACTAAGAATTCGAGTTCCTATAAACCAAAGATTCGAAATCTTGGAAATATAATATATTGTTATTTTATTAGATATTACAGATTATTGACATATTAAAGTTACATTGTGTCTCTGTGTAACAATTGAAGATTTATTTTCAGGTATGCAGTTGATAATATCGTTGAAGTTAAATGATAATGTCGCAGCAATAAAGCACGTTGTCTTGATTCTAACGATGCTGGTGCAATTGTATCTCTATTGCTACGCTGGTGGCCAGTTGGAATATGTAACCGGAAGGATCGCGTACAGCGCTTATAGCAGCCCGTGGTACGATTTTAATGTAAAGGTAATGAAAAACCTGCCTATGGTGATGTTTCGAGGAAGGATGCCTCATCAAACGACAGCTGGGAAATTCCTGCCGATGAATTTGTTTTCATTCAAAGAGATTTTGAAAGCCACGGGCTCCTATCTCTCCGTTCTCAGAGTGATGATAGATGTGTAAAATTGATATTGACGGCATACACGATTATAAATTATGACTGATATCTTCAAAGCAATGTTTCCTTTCTTCGTTTTCTTCGATCTTGCATGTATGAATAGTTCTATGCGAATCTACGTGCAACATTGATTAACATATATATTTTGCCAAACGTTAGATAAGAATACCATTATGGCTCGAACGTTTTTATTCGGTTTGGTATATTATGAATATGCCACGTTGTAATAAATCGAGCAAAACGCACAATCTTCAACTCGACAATCATCAACATGATAATATATAATTAAAAAACATGTGTACCTGTTTCTTATTTGGAATAATTTTCAGAATAGTTTTCTCCTTTTCCGGAAAAAAAACCTGAAAATGTACTTCTAAATTATTAGAAATAATATACTACAAAACAGTTTCTATCCTGACATTATCTAATGTGTACCGGACATAATGTAAGAAAATGATAAAATATATTATAAGTAAATATAAAGACAAATACTACTAACGTCTCACGTAATTCTTACAACATACTGTTACAAGATGTTGTGTACAGTTTACCTCTTCTTTTTCCTACTTATATGAATATACATATATTTTTATACGAATAAATCAACTTACAAATTTTTCTCAGTAAGAGAAACAGTTTCGTGCAATCGTTTACAAAGCTACTTATATTTTTTATTTATCACGAAATACAATATTTAAGCGGCTGTAAGTCTAAGAGATATCTGCAGATATTAATAATGTCTGTCAAGAATAATGTTGAATCACGTATCATTCGGTACCATATTATTTCTACACATACAAATATAAACGAAAGCTATACTTGCATTTTCCACGAAAGTCAAGAAAGCCGAAGGTATGAATAATAAATGAGAAAAAAATCCAGCCCGTCGGTTGCATCACGGAGGGGTTGCTTTAAGTACTACAGGTACTTGTACCTGTAACAAATCAAATATTGAACGATAGAGAAGAAAGCAGTATATGTGTTTCGAGGAACGACAGTCGCTTCGGGTAAGAACTATTTGAAGAGAGACTTGGAAGATTAACAGTGTAACAGTCTGTGGGCGAAATAATAAAGATATTACGCAAGCGTAAAATTTTTAAGTGCTCGAGAATGCGATCAAGTACGAATTGGAATACTGATACTACAAATAGTTTGAAATTTCACAAAAATTTTCTTGGCATTATTGGACTCTGGGTACTAGATGAGAAAAGTGTATTCTCGAAAATTCGATGGTTTTTATCAACGACAGTGGAAGTGAGTTATGCAGTGCAATTTACACTTTTATATATTCGCGTTAAGTATTTGAACGTCTTTCTTTTATTTCATCAAACAATAAAAAAGTGTTAAATGTTAGTCTATTTATATGTACTGTATAGATATTTTGCCTTGGTATATAAATATATTGTTATAACTGTTAAATTATTAATATCTTGTGCAATACATGAAAGAGTACCCAAAAGTTTCCGGGACTACGTAAAAAACATATTTACAGTGTACTCACAAGTCTGATAATTGAATCTCTTCGAAGCAATTTGATATTAATAATGAAGTTCCACAAAAATTGCTGTCGGCATTTCGGGCGAAGAATCTAGACAGTCCAGTACTTCCTGAAGTAAATAAGGCTGGGATTGTTAAACTAAGTCACATGGAAGATACTTCGAAAAGGATTAAACTTTCAGACCTGTAAGTACACGGTAAATATTTTTGAAAAAATATCCCCCAAAAATTTGCGTCCTCTCTCGTATACATACAGGGTGTTAGAAAAGTCTGGGAACGGTCAAATATCGCGAAAACGAAACGTTTTTGAGAAAAATGTATATTAAATCAAATCAAATAAAAATATATTTATATTGTCGCAATATTTTCATTTCATTTTCGTAATTTCAGTTGAGTACATTGATTACCATGTCACTAGAATTGATTCTACACTGTAAGGGTCCGGAGGACGCCATGGATGCCTTTTTATTGTGCTCATCGTCATTAGTTAGCATGGTAAAACTACTGTTGCATCGGGTATATTGGAGACAAAAATTCATTTTGGTGGAATCAATCATCCACGATTGGACTTCCGTTAAAAATTCTTATTCTCGCGATATCATGCTGAAGTATGCACGCATAGGTAAACTAGGGTCCTTGATATTCTTCTACTTCGGTTGTGCCTCAGTCATGTCCAGGATTCCCGCTATCGTGTTTTCTAATATCAATTTGCCCTGGAATTCTGAAAAGCAGTATTTCAATGATACATACGAACGAAAACTGATATTAGCGGCCTATTGCGTCTTTGGAAAGTATACATCTTCCATTACTTACGGCGCCATTGAAGTTTTGCAGTTCGTACAGGTCGTCGTTAACGGCATTTCGCAGTGCGGGAACGATGGGTTCTTCTTCCATCTCACGATGCACATGTGTGGACAATTCGCAATTCTCAGGGTGAACTTCACTAAATTGGGTTGCGAAGAATTTCCCTGCCGCACTAAATTCGACATCTTATTGAAGAGACATTATCACCTAATATATTTGTCGCATTATTTAGAGAGGGCTTTTACCCTGGTCATCTTAGCACAAATTTTAATGAGTGTCCTTGTGCTGTGTATTGCAGGTAAACGTAGAAATATTTTAAATAAATAATAATTGAATTAACATTGTTGTAAAAGTTTCGGAATTTGTATTTCTTACTTATTCAATATCACATACACATATGTGTATACGAACTAATAAACATAAATTCCTCTAGAATAACTAATAAATATAATTTTTTAATTAAAAAGAATTGAATATATATATTGCAAAATTACAAACTCTGTATTATAATTACTATAAGATTTGCAGCTATTTTAAATTTATTACTAATCACATTTAACGTATTGTATTGTTTTCAGGTTTTCTCTTAATGCGTTCACTTGAGATGAACGATACTTTTACCGCCGCAAAACATAGTGTCTTCGTTTTCGCACTGCTATTGCAACTTTTTATTTACTGCTTCGCTGGAGAGACATTGGAATTCCAATCGAAAGGATTGGCCTATGCAATTTATAAATCACCATGGTACACTTTTGACATACGCGCCATGAAAAATTTACCATTAATAATTCTCCGAACAACTAATCCTCAGCAGTTAACTGCAAGAAAATTTGTAGCAATGAATTTAATGACTTTTAAAGAAATTCTGAAGGCTTCCGCCTCGTATTTATCAGTATTAAGAGTAATGATTAAAGCGTGAGTGGAAATTCTATTAGCGAAGGAAAAGAAAAGTCAAGAGTCTAGTTATATCTTTTATAAGTTACTTTATGAAATTCATTAATTACCAATTATTTAGTTTGTTCTTTTATAGATAATTTCAACTATGTTTCTTAAAAAATTGTAATTAAATGACAAGCGTTTTTCTGTAAGTGGTAATGAATAAAGATATATATTTTGATGATGGAATGATAAAAAATTGCATTAATAATATATTTATTAAGAAATATATTATAAATACAAAAAATTAAGCAGATATGTATAACATGAAAGAGTATAATGGTGCAAATATAAAAAGTAAAAAAATTATGAAATAATTCTTAATATTACGTAAATATTACGTAAATATTACGTAATATTTAGGTTTTATCATGTAATATTTACTATAACGGAATAAATATATTTGAGGCTATTATCTTAGACTATAAAATTAATAATTTCACCAAATGCACCATTTCTATATTAGGAATGCCTATGAAAGTTACAGAAGAAATGTAATGACGTGTATACCGCTCGGTTTTTACACTTACTTTGTCTGCAAGACGTTCCAAGTTAATAAAACATGAGATGAAATAATGAGATAATATGGTAGAATTGATAACTTACAATAATGACCGGTAAGATTCGAACAGTCGTAAATCGATGGTTCTTACAAACTAAATTTTGCCAAATTTAGTTTGTAAGAACCGAACGAAGTAGCTTCGAATGAGCAGTCCTTCGAAGTTTTCCGCTCGCCAGGATGATGGATAAGGCCATAGGTTTTTATTTATCAACAGATGCACCCTACTTCATTGCAAATCTATTATTTCAAAGATAACGTGAGTATGGTCGAGGACAATATCGTGTCATGTATAACCATATTATTTGTACAATATGTATGGAAGGTATATTTGCGTACTTGAAGGAAATGAAAGCTGAAGGTATGAATAATGAATCAGAAAAAAATCCAAGAAAGTCAGTTTTCTGATGAATTTATTTTTATTCCAAGAGATTGTGAAAGCCACAGGCTATCTCTCCATTGTCTGAGTGATGATAGATTTATAAATTTGATATTGTCGGCACATACGATTATAAATTATGACTGATATCTCCAATGCAATGTTTCCTGCCTTCGATCTTGCGTATATTAATAGTTCTATACGAATATACGTGCGACATTGATTAACATATTTTATCAAACGTTAAGTAAGAATACAATTAAAGCTCGAACGATTTTATTCATACCATGTTGTAATAAATGGAACAAAAAGCACAATTTCCAACTTGACAATTATCAACATGATAATATATACTTAAAAAAATGTTTACCTGTTCCTTATTTGGAAT